GTATGGGTCTATCGCTGGCCATTCAGAGTATTAAATTTTACCGTTCGAAAGCAACTTCGATGATTCCGAACTGATCGCTTTGAAGAAATTTGGCCCACTCAAGGATGGTTTCAACCTCTTGCGTGCGCGTGATTGCAAAGGATTGTTGAAGAAACGATATTCCTTCGTGCCTTATGCTACTGCTTGCACTTGCGATTGCAAAGGATTGTTTCACAAATAATATTCTAATCTTTCTCACTCCGAATCACCGCGTGCTTTGTGCTACTATTCGACTCTAGGATATGATTGTTTTTCTTTGATCTGGGTATCGACATCGACCCCATTGGTACTAGTGTTATGTATGTTGTTAACTTTCCTCTAAAGTCTGTTGATTTCTCGAACTAGAAAGTCAAAAAAGCTTATTTTAACTAACAGAATTTTTGCATTCACACGAACGGATGTACAACCGACAAATATACGGGACCGGCAGCCACGCTCCTGAACTCAATTTCTATTGGTTGAAGCTCGCACCATCTCCTCACCAGCCTCGTCGCTCGAAATCTGCCAAGGTGTCCCTCGTCGTCTCCTCTTTCGTGTGATACACCAATTCCGGACCAAGGATCTTCGGAGCCTTGCTTGCATCATAAGGAAAGATCGGCTTCGAAATCTTTCCCGCCCCAGGGTTTCCTTTTGGCAGGTCCGTGTGAGAAGGAATGGGGGAAGGCGAAAGGGCATTGGCTGCGTCGACTAGAAAAAAAGAAGTATCGCAGTTGATTGGAGATCTATACACTCTGTTAAAATCCAAAAAGGGACCGAACTTACTGAAATCTTGGTATGAGAAATCTCCTTTGAGAATGATTAATCGTTCACCCCCGGCTTTTTCCTTCTGGAGAGCGAGGACATGGGCGAGAGCTACATCCCGGATGTCGATCCACGCGTTGCCAACCAGAGCGATTTGGTCGAGGGGCTTGCCTCCCATGTCGGGGCGGACAACTGAGTTGTACCAGTCGCCTGAGGATGTATTAAGGGCTGCGGGAGATGAGACTTCGTGTATGATTGGGCCGAAGATCTGAAGAGATTGAATGGGTGATTCGGTGAGCTTGTGCAAGTTACGGAAGTCAAAGGGTCAATTAAGATCAACGCACATATGGTGGGTTCAACACGACGAGATCCCAGGAAAGTTTCGCCTTATTAGCATTGTAGAGTTCCCAAGCAGCTAATGAAAGGTCCAGGAATAGGAAACAACATTATCAGAACGCGAATCAGAGGAAAGACAGCAAATTGCAGATTGTTATTTTACATACCCTTCTCTGCCAAAGTCTTACTCGCGCAATACTTGTTAACCTGGTTTGCATTCTTCCCATTCACTTTGACGTCTTCAATTGACTGTTCGTTCCAGTCTGATTCCGTGAATGGCTTGGGGTCGGGAAGAAGAGAGATGACGGCAGCGGTGGATGACAATAAGATGAATCGCTTGAGAGTTGACGCGGTAAGTGCGCTTTTGAGTATGCTGACGGTTCCGTTTACGGCTGGAGTGATGAGCTCTGTATAGGTTTCTGATAAGCTAACAATATTCGTTGAACAGAACAACGAGGATTGCCTTGTGGATCATCTGCCGCGAGCTGGAAAGGTGATGCGGTATGTGCGATTGCGTCTACGCCTTTGATTGCCTCATCAAATGCTCCATCCTAATAAAAGAAAACATCAAATATGAGAATCCGAACCCAAATCGGGAGCCCAAGAACCTCGATTCTGAAATAGTAGTAGTACTACTTCAAGTCAATGGCACCTTACTTTGGTGATATCTTCAACAATTATCAACTCAAACTTGTCCCCATGGTTGGCGAAGATTTTCTTTAGATGTACGCCTTTTCCTTCGGACCTGATTGTCCCCCGAACTTTGTACCCTTTCTCAAGGAGCGTACGTATGACCCAAGCAGCTACAAAGCCGTTAGCTCCGGTTACGAGGACTTTGCTTCCTGCGGGAACGGTAGGCATGATTTTGGGCGAGCTGGACAGAGATGTCGAAAAGGACGTTAGTTGTAACAAACAGAGACAAGTGGTGCCGATTAACAAGCAGGACAGCTGATTTTATAATCATCGTGTCGAGGATTGAATTTCCAGATCGCTCTTGAAGCAATCCGGGCTAATTTGTTTCCACCGAGATTCGGAAGATCAGTCTAGGAAAGAAGGTCCGACTACTTACACCGTTGACCATCGTATGCTTCGCATCCTCGCCCACAAACGGCGACCTCGGATATACGTAGATGCGCATGCGATTCTACAACGGGGCGAAAATACGTATAATTCAAGAAAACACTCGTCGCACTGCGGTATTCGCATGGTTGCTACATCATCTCATGCACGACTCCACTTTCGATATCAACCGTGGACTCATACCAAATCGTGTCGTTTCCGGCTTCCAACTCCGTGAAAGAAGTCCAGAAGATACACTGTTCAGCATGTGCTTCATCGATTTTGGCCGGTGAGTACTATATTTCTGATAGCACGTTTAATTATGTTCAATCATGACATTCAGTTAGACAGTTTCCGAGTGATATGCTTTGGAAGCTTTCCAGCTCTTTCCAGTCCTTCTTCCTTCCCGCTTTTGAACGTTCCACACTAGTTCATACAATTCCATGTCGTTATACTATGTCTTCTCCTGTGAGGATCGTGAAGATCTCGAATCTTCCTCATCGCTGATGATCTCCGGTTTCTGAGTGTAACATAAAGCCGAAACATGGCTGCAAATTATCCACATTGAAACCAGACTACAAAAGACACAAGTCCAGAGGGTTGTTTATACATTCGAATTCGGGAACATTATAGAGCATATGGTATATAGATATACCCGCGGCTGGTAGGATCTGGAGTCTCTTCTTGCTCGACATAATCCCCCTCCACCATGGCTCTTGGACCAGCAGAAGTCGCGTCAGTAATATCATCCCTTTCCTCGAGTCTCTTCCATTCATGTGAGGGCGTGGCAGACATGGACCGATGCTCATCGGCACTTTCCTTGCCCTAATTTTATTCGGGATTTCGGTGACTCAAGTGTAAGCTTAGTATGGACTATTCACGAATTCCTCACCATGCTGAGGTAGGATTTCTTTATCTAGTTATATGTACTGGAGTGCATATCGAAAAAAGTTTGTGTTCATGATGATATCATGACGATTTGCTAAACGTTTCACTAGGGATAGGGCATTCATCCATGCATATGTAGGTCCTCTTAGAGCTGTCTCCATACTCGATTTGATGAGGGATCGTCACAGGTCTTCGTAGTCTTTGTCGCGGACACTACACATACAATCTTCATAATGGCTTATATGTATCTATCACTTGTGAAACACTTCGGTGCGTTGGAATTTATGTTGTACCGCTACATGATTAGCTGAACTTATGATGTAGGAGACATTCCTTATATTTCTGATTCAACTTGGGTCTTTGCTGCTGGTACGTTCGAAAGCCCTTCTCGATTTACTACCAATTTAAATTTGTTGATGATGCTCCAGAGCCAGCTCTCGTGGTGAATATCCTCCCTCTATGCAACATAACACATCATCTTCATAACCTTCTTCTCTAGGGCATTATTGGTGGCTTGGTTCAGAGTTTCTACGGGTGGAGAGTGCAGATCCTACTTGGAAATTGGTTTGTCACTTTAATAATCTTTGTCGGCGCTCTTGCAAATATGTGTAGGTGAATTTCAAGCTCCTTGTTACACAAACTGAAGTTGAATTTCTCCAGTGATGGGTATTGCAACTGCAATTGGCGCGGACATTGTGAAAGCATTCTCAGAATTTCAAAGGTTTCAAGTGGTGGTTATCATTTGTAAGTCAAGATTCGAGAGCTTCCTGCCTCCTTTGCGCTGGCAGCCGATTTGATGCTAAGCGCTGAATGTTGGCTCATTTCTAAGGGGCCGTCACTGCTATGGCGGCAGATTTAATTATAATGGCAACGCTGGTGCTGCATCTGGTAAATTACCATTCCAGCTTTCACGGCAAGTCAAACGTTCTTACGCATAGATTATCAGAGACATTTCAAGACAGGAATCAATAAAGGAACAGACAATCAGATTGATAGAATTATCCGGTGTAAGTGTGTTCAATGGACTTGGACATTCAACAGCCTCAATCAATGTTTCTACAGTGACTTTACAAACTGGTACGCCGAACTCTTGCAGCCTTTCCATTCAATTTCAATACTGAGAGATAATCATGATCCTCAGGAATGATCACGGTAATCTGGGAGTACGTATTCGTTTCCATGCCTATTTTATTATCCTTGTCTAAAGTTCTTTGCTATTAGCATTGCCCATCTACTGACTTTCCTTCTCGATCCCGCTGGCGTGTGCGTGCTATTAAAAATTCTCGAATGACAACTGCAAACTGACAGTAGAACCTTATCATTCTAGACATCTTTTCTTCAATTTTACCCTTGCGAAGCTGTACACAAATTCTCTACTCTCATCTCTGAACTCAAGAGGAGGATGGAAGTTCATGGATTCAACATCTGACCACAATCCCATTACCACTAGCCGATCGGGGATATATACTGAGCACGGAGTCAGCCAACATGTATGTGTTTTGTCCATTGCTCATGATGTTGGATATTTTCCTCAATGCAATCTCTTGTGTGGCAAAAGGTCGAGGTCAACTTGGGTCATCATACTCGAAGTCGTCCTGAGGTCAGCAATCAATGTATGTGCTTCGATGACTTGACTGATCTTTCAACAGGTGTTTATACAGGTTGAGTCTCATGAAATGATGGACCAAAATCAAAAGGGTGCAGCAATTGACTCGGAATACTGAAAAACTGCAAAGAATTATTAGTCTTCGCGTTGTATTCTTATGTTATTCAAATCTATCAAATGGACCAGAGTTGAGAACAGAGATAGTGAGGAATATCTTTGGGTGTTATCATGTTTGAAAAATTGGTCCAGCCTATATTGTCAAAAATAAGGGCCAGTAATTTGGACGAAAACCAGAAGCAAAACTGTAATAAAACCAACACCGGATCTTAAATACACCGTTCGGGAATCGAACCCGAGCCGCTTGCTGACTATATAATATTGGAAGGCAAGCATGATAACCACTTCACCAACGGTGTATACTACCTGGATGTTGTTGTCCATCAACAGTAGTCTACAATCTGCTTGTCACTAGAATTGAACGAAATTCGGATTTATGAACAAGCAGCACTAAAGGGGATGATGGTTCTGCACCTTCTCTGGTGACTATGCCACGACAGGACACGGCGCGACAGCGATCGACCAGGTCAATGGAATGAGGCTGATGCTAATGAAGCGGGCTATAATCACATCGAGGGACTCACAAACGTTGAACTCGGAAAGGGCACAAAAGATGGTGATAAGCCGTGAAGAGACGTGAAGAGATGTGAAGAGGTATCAAGGGAGGATTGGTCAAAAGGAGCCTCGAGGATGGCGGGATTATTCCCTATACGGAGATGTGATAACTGTGAAAGGATGATCGGCCTCGAGGTTTGGGTGAATATGGAGAGATGCGGCGTAAGTAGGAAATCATTTGGAGATTCAAGCTGATACAGGCTGATAAGCGCAATGTGAAAAGGTCATCCAGGAACATACGGATATTCCGGCGAATGTGATATACTGTGAGTAGAACGGATTAGGGAAAGTTGTTTATTATCACTTGTTGTGCGTCGGTTAAGTAGGTGAGGACTGTGAATGCCATTAACTCTTTATTATCACTTTGCGTTTGTCGGTTAACGCTGAATCCTGCCATCCTGCGTCCTCCTTCACTATCTCCTGTCCTCGTTTCGCTCCTTTAATCCTCATTTGCGATATATCACTCGACGAGAAGAAAGGCATGCAGGATTTGGAAGGAGGCGGATGGACAAGTATAAAAGGGATGTTGGTCGGTGAGTTTCGACAATCCACTTGGATAGCACTGAAGTTCACTAAACTTCATTCGAATCGATAACTTTCCACTGCTGTGAATCTGTGAATCCTCGTCGGATCTATTACACTTTTACCCCACATCTACGCCATGTCTTACAACAATCCGCTTCACTCGCCTGTACCAGCCTCTAAACAATCTACTTATAACTCCCTGTCAAGTTCCATCGCCGCTCCAACTTCGTCCTCTTCGTCCTCGTACACGAATTCGCGCCGCCGTCGCGTCCCATACACCCCTTCGTTGAAATTTCGCTCCTCGAGTCGTCCTCAAGCGCCTATCGCGTTTGATTGCCTAGGATATCCTGGTGCGGGGATGCCTATGCGAGAAATATACGCCAGGGGAGAAATCGCATTGGCGCAGATGATGGATAGAGGAGCAGAGCGTGTTATGGTGTTTGCGCAGAGTGGGATCAGAAGGATTCACTTGGTGGTGAGGGTAAGTTGTTTGATTTTGTGCTTTACTAGAGTTTCATGTCTGATCTGAAATGTTTTCTATTTGCTATAGTGGCCTGGATACGAACACCTAGAATGCGCATTTCCTATAGAGGTGGTCTTGTATTCTGGACATATTACGAGGGTGCAACTAGCTGCTGCTGTTACAAACGCTTTCATCAAGTTTATCGAGGTAAGAGACCGGCTCTGACTTGCCTTTCGTTCATTTCTGACAATTTATATCTTTACAGCGAGCCCAAAACGAAGGCTCATCCTCACCAGACTGGCAATTTGGTTCAAAAGGAATTCAATTCACTCAGCTATCGCTTCTTTCCATAGCTCATTTGTCGGAAGACGCGTGGAGAGCTGAGATCGCTGTGGACTTCTAGGATGGAAGAGAGTCGACGTTACCATACAATACCTTGAATACCCTCCAGCTAATCTTTTACCTATACCACTACCTCTTTGATGAATGAAGTTACATGACCGAATGCGCGTCGACGCGTCAACTGAAGCGCGCACTGACACGTGATCTTTGTAGGCTAAGCGCTTGTTATAGTTCGACCTTCAAATTCTACTGTAACTTTCATTTCCAAGTTCACTCTCGAACCACCTATGGAATTTAGGCAATGTTAACAATGAGAGAGTCGTCAATGGCTAATGGGATGGGGAGGAATGACGCCATCCATAAATCGTGTGCCGTTTCGTTTAGTTTTGGTTTCGTTGTTTTTCCCTGATTTATCATCCTCCCCAGTATGTCCCTTCACTTTCATGTTCTTTATTAATCGTTTTACACGAAGTTCCGCCAGGCTGTCTCGAATATACTCTCATTTTGGCCTCGATTCAAGATCTCTACCTTCAATTACAATGTCGACTGCCAAATTTCCAGAGACGATAGAGGCTTTTGCGATCAACAAAGTGTGTGGGAGATTACTATCTATCGATACCAATGGAAATAAAAAATCTCTTGTTTTGTAGACTGGTGGCTTTGAAGTTCTCGAGAAGCTGACCTTACCATTCCCGAAAGTCGAGCCAGGTCATTTGGTGATCAAAGTATGTCTTTCAACCTCAGAAGCGAGTTTCAACTGATGAGTTTCATAGGTAGAATGGATTGGTGTAAATTTCATTGATACATATTACCGGTATGCATCGTGCCAATCGCGAACAATTCTTGGATTCCAAGTCTTTTTTTAGTCAAGGACTATATCCGTACCCAAGTTTCCCTGCGATACTCGGGAAGGAAACCTCGGGGGAAATTATTGCGCTTCCAACTGACCCAGAAGTCCTCAATAGTCCCGATTTCCAACGGATGGAATACAAAGTGGGAGGAAAAGTTGCTGTTGTACGAATTCAATCATCTTATTTCCGTCTTCGTTGTCCCAAATATCGATCCGTAGGATTTCCTCGGAACCCATTCAACATATATATCTGTGCCATGGATCAAAGCCTATCCAATCACCCACGGCGTCTCCACCAAAATCGCAGCAGCAGGTCTTGTTCAAGGCCTCACAGCTCTCACTTTCTTCGAAGAATCCTATAAAGTCAAAAAGAGCGATACCATCCTCATCCATACTGTTGCTGGCGGTCTGGGACTATTGATGGCTCAGTTAGGCAAACATCTCGGTGCGACGGTGATTGGGACGACGTCGACAAAGGAGAAAGCGGAACTGGCGAAAGCCCATGGGGCAGATCATGTTATTCTGTATAAGGAGGAAGATACGGTGAAGAGGGTTTTGGAGATTACTAATGGAGTCGGTGTTGAAGCGGTGTTCGATGGTGTTGGAAAGGATACGTGCGTGAATTCTCTGGCACTGAGATTTCAAAAGTTGATTTCATTGGTCCCATAGGTTCGAAAGTAACTTTGAGATGCTACGTCGAAAAGGTACTCTCGTCTCCGTAGGCAATGCGTCTGGAGCGGTTCCTCCTGTGTCTCCGCTCAAACTCCTGCCCAAAAATCTCAAACTCTTGCGACCAACGTGTGTTTCCTGCCATGTACTCCCTTTACTTTCCATCTAACTTAATTTTCATTCCACGTCCGTCCCTGGCACTTTAGGATGAACAATTACCTTGTCACGCCTGACGAAGCAGCTTACTATGGGGACAAAGTGTTCGAATTGATCTCGTCCGGTGTTCTCAAGATCAATATATTCAAAGAGTATCCGTTCACGCAAGAGGGAGGACAACAGGCGCAGAAGGATCTCACAGGAGGAAAAACTACGGGCAAGCTTTTGATTAAGGTTGTGCAGGATTGAGTCTCGTGGGTAGTGGCATTCAAAGTACTAGGAGAGTAGTCCTCCACGAACAAGATCGAGAAGATGGGATATGAAGGAATTTGGAGGGGAAGTAGTAAGAATTTAGCGAGAATGTATGGAAGCTAACTAAATTTGTATCACCAGTAACTAAAGTTTCCACCTCACTAACCCGTCTTGGAAGTCACCTAAGCTGTTTTCGTGTAAAGCTGACAATCGTTCGAATTTCTCTTTAGGATTTCTCCGACGATGACCGCACATTTCAGAGAGCAGCTTCCCTCGGACCTTTTTCGTGCCCGTTTTCTTATCGTGTGCAATATAACGCGAGGAGCACGAGCGCAACGGCTGTTTTTCGTGGTCCACCTTGACATCTCCTGTAATGCCCGTCTAATCATTCAATGATCTGCCAAGTAAGCATTGTGTTTTTTATCCCTACGCCCAAAACATTACTCCAGTCCTGAGTCAGCATGGGGATGGCAACTATTGTATTTCCCTGATAGGTATAATTGTGCATATAAGTAGCTCTTCAACGCCCCGAGCTCACCGTTTGCTGGATGGTGAATTGCTGACTGACACAGCTTGCACAGGAGCTGCCTTAGCAAAAAGTGGATACATCCTACTTGTGGCCCCTTTCGTATATCGATTAGCTCTCTCCGTATATCTCTATCGTTATCATACCAACCGAGGTAAGTGATACTAGTGGCAGAGTATATCCTAATAAGCAGATTCACTCATATTCCACTCATGATTTCAGGATTCACTTGGAAACCTCATAGACATAAAGAACGATCTTTTTGAGAAGAAGAATCCACATTCAGATATCAAGAATTTCTTCCCGGTGCGTATTCATGTCGATTTCTATCGAGATAATTCTCAAACTTTGCACTTCGTTTCCATCTATGTCTTCAGATATTAGATCTCTAAACCCAGCGTCAAACACCCGGAGGAACACAAAGAACAGAGAATGCCTTCCTTCAAATTTCCTTCTACAGTCGATGCTCTCGCCATTGCTCAAACTGGTGACATCAACGTATTGGAAAAGATGACGCTGCCATTTCCAAAAGTCAAGCCGGGAGATTTAGTCGTTAAAGTATATAATTTTTTTCCAATCTGTGTAGGCTTGGTTGATCCTTTTCGCGTTCAGATTGAGTACATCGGGGTAAACTTCATTGATACGTACTTTCGTGAAGGTCTTTATCCATTGGACCACTTCCCCACTACGATTGGCGAAGAAGCCGCTGGGATTATCGTTGCTTTACCCACCGATCCAGAGGTATTGGGCAACCCGTCGTATAAGAGGCAGGGATTTGAGGTTGGAATGTCTGTAGCCGTGGTATGCCATATGTTTCTTTATCTGTACATGGATTAATCATTGTACCGACCATTCCGCCTCCTGACAGACCACAATGGGTACCGACCAGACATACGTTTCCATTCCCTGGTCCTACGTATTCCCCACCCGTGGTGTCTCAACTAGAATCGCTGCAGCATCC